AACACACACCTGCTCAGAGCTTCATTTATACTAATATTGATCTGCTAAGTGATCTAATGTGTGTAGTTCCTGTCTGTGACAAATATTTAAACCTGGCTGATGTGGAGATTAGTGTCTCTCTCTCTCTCTCGCTCTCTCTCTCTCTGTTGCCGTCTAAGGTGTCTGTAAAGGCTGAAAGCAGTTGAGTGGTGCAATTCTCTGTCACTTAAGTAAGGTTTTACTCTGAACGCTGAATCTCTCAGACGTGTACTCAGCCCATCACTGGAGGATGATTAATAGCGCTGCACTTAAATGTTTCCGGCACAATTCTCTCTGTCTTTCTCTCGCTCTCTTTCTCTATATCTCTTTATCTCTTTATCTCAATCTCTACCATTCTCTTGCCTGTCTTTCTCTTTCCTTCTTATCCTTCCTCTCTCTCCCTCTCTCTCTCTCTCTCTCTCTCTGTCTCTCTATCTCTATCTCTCTTTCTCTGTCTCTTTCTCTGTCTCTCTCTTTCTTTCTCTCTCTCTAACCCCACCTCTCTCCCACTGTCTTTTCCTCTCTCACTCTCTTTTCTCCCCCCACTGTTCTCCCCCACAAAATGTTAATTTAACACTCATCAGGTTTGTTGCTTGCCGTGTCTTCCATCTGAACATGCAGCTGTTTGTTGTTGGTGTCACACTGATGAATAATGTGCTAACGTGCTAAACGTGTGAGAGCCACACTGCACCATTTGCAGATTCCTTTTACCTGCCTGAATCTTATGAATGGCAGCTGGTTTTACATGGTATTTTACTCTGTGATGGATTGATTCTACACTACATACAACTCATCTGTCATCTCTAGTCACATGTAATACAAGATGATCTGAATTTAGCAGTCAGATCAAAGGTCAAATTAAATATGCACCAGCCAGATAATTAAATAGGATAAAATAAATATTAAAATGAATATAAATATTAATAGGAAGAATTAAACCAGACAAATGGCCTTACAGGTCATACAGTCCCTGGCTCCTTTATTAGAAATCCCTGCCTTGTAGCTCAACATTGCTGGTGTGCAGTTAGAAGCTCAGGACCATTTATTAATGCATAGTTTATCTCTAGTCCTTAGCTGCTCCTGGCTGTATATTTTTGGGTGATGTTTTGAGTGGTGGATACACTCATAATATCACCACACACACTGCCATGTCAGTGTCACTGCTGTGCTGAGGATGATCCACCATCCAAGTAATATCTGGTCAGCAGCGGTCCTGTGGTCAGAAACTGACCAATGATGAGTAGGACAGAGGGAGGCTAATAAATTGTGCGTGACAGCAGTTAGACTATGGTCTGTAAATGTACACCTACATAGTGGACCTATAAGGTAGGTGGACCTCACAGGGTGAAGAGTGAATAGACATGCAAGGCATCTAAAGAGACAGTGAGTGTATATTTTCATAGTACATGGACTAGTTAGCTCTCCCATAGCTGATTACATGACTGTAGAGGATTTAATTGACGTGTAAATTCCATATTATTGAGGATTATTGCTGAGTAGGAACAGTGTGACCCAAATGTGGAAAGCTTTGAATTCGCTTATTTGTGTTCTGCTGCCACCTAGTGGACTGTCTGGATATTGGGTTTGGCCAGTGTGTCCACTAGCATAATTTAAAAGCTGTACCTTTGCCAGTATGAACCTGTATAATCTGCCTGTAGCCATTCTTTGCCCTTGCATTTTTGTGTACCTATATAACATGTTTATGCATGTGTATACGTGATGCAATTATTGTTTATTTACTGAGTTTAACATACTAGGGAAAAAACATAAAATGTGGCATGTGCACAAGTTATGGCAAATTTAATATTTTAATGTTTAAAGTTTTTTTGCTACCAGGAGTGTTCAAACTTTTGCATACAACTGTGTATATATATATATATATATATATATATATATATATATATATATATATATATACACATATGTAGACACACATATACACTTTCAGGGTTTTGAGGTTTTGAATAGACGGCAAGGTATTTTTTGTAATCAATTATTCACATTTTAGAGGTGGCATTTACAGTCCTGTTGACAGATATGGGATTTGAAGTGTCCAAACTGTGTTATAATGGATAAATGATGGTGTTTTATGCACAGCTGTCACACACACATGCACGCATGCATGCTCACACACACCAAGCCGTAAGTTGCACCTGTGCCACTCCAAAGGTGCTCATGACAGAAGAAGGATTATATAGGCAGAGCAATTCTGCTCAAATGTGTTTCTATCTCTCTGTCTTTAATGATTAATTGACAGATTAATGGCCTTAATGATTGAACGAGCCGGGTCGTCGTTCAGCTTACTTTTGTACTCATCAAAAGCAACATGAAAAAAAGCTTTTCACCCGCAGTAGTGCAGCATTGTTCTCGTCTGAATCATCTTCTCGGGCCTGTTTGGCCCACTCCACTCTTATTGTTGTCCTGTAGCCACATGACGTCTGTTTAAAGTGAATCTGGTGTCTGTTTTGCCTCAGAATCAACTCACTCCTTTCTTCTTTAAATACTGACTCATGTTAGTCGATGACTTTGGCTACCAGAAAAGCAAATCTTTTTTCAGAGTCACTTAAGAAGAAATTTTCTTCCTTTGAGAAAAGAAATCTGACCACTAATCTCTGACCCTATCACAGTTAACCCTTAGACGTCTGCTATTTAAATTACATAATTACAAAATTAATGACAATTTCTATTCTCACTGAATCGGTAACACTTCAGTATAAGGGGGTGTTATAATGCCTTTTAAGGGTTTTTAATCCAGTAGTTAATAATTATCTGGCTGCGTATTACTACAAAATTAAGCCTTAACTAAGGCTTATTGCACTGCTTATTATATAATACTATAACATTCTTTTTATATCATATTGTACACGCATTCTACATCATAAACCCATTGTTATGCCCTTATTAAGCCTTATATATGCATTTTACAGAATGTGTGTGTGTGTATATATATATATATATATATATATATATATATATATATATATATATACATACACACACACACACGCACATATATATAATGCTATATACCGTGTATATATATATATATATATATATATATATGTATACATATATATATATATATATATACATATATATATATATATATATATATATATACACCAATGTCCTGTTACCAGTGAAACACATTTACGTGTGTGGGGGTGTGGATTTCAGTTTCTCTTCCTGTCTTGAATTTCAGAGCTGAATGGAGTGTTTTCTGTTTGATTCATTTAACACATTTTGTGTGCTGTCATTGTTACTTGTTGTCTAGTAGCTTTCTCATGTCATGCTGTCTGAAAGACATATTTGGCATATGTTCAGTACCTTTCATTTGAAAATGTAGAAGATGATGTAGAAGACACTTTTAAGGGTATGGCTGGTATTGTTATTTCTTTTGAGACTTTTTATAGCGCCATTTAATACTGTGCTCTTCTCTGGTTATGTTAAAAATAAACCCTTCAATCTCTGTAAATGTGCTCTTTCAGTGTAGAGCATACAAGCATATCTTTGCAACGGTTACATAGAAACCTTTTTTTATTATTTTAGCTTGTTGTGAAAAGGCCTTAAAAGTTGGTTATACAGTCAAAAAATAATCACATCCTGCTGCCCTTTGAAAAAATAAGATAGCATCTCTGGAATTCAGTCTAATTCCGTTTAAACAGCCAGTAAAATAGTGAGAACTGGAAGTAAAGGCATGCTGAGTGTATGTGTTGTTTGATGCAACTATGATTCTTTAGGAAATGATTCAGTGACTCATGAAATCTCAAATTTCACCACCATTTCGTTCAGTACAATTGCTTTGGAACAATACAGTTATTCAAAAAAGTACATTGAATACACAACTGTAACTAAAGGAAGTATTTATACAGTAAAGAAACAGACAATAAAAAAAATGTTTTTTGCTGGACTGCACACGCACTTGCACATGCACCACACAAAACAAACAGTAGGGGATCATTTACACCCAATCAAAAGAAGCGACTTCATCACCCACATACTCATACCCCAAATGTAGGGTTCACACACAAATAATGAAAGAAAGCAGAAACACATTCCTTAAGACATGTCATTGTACTGAGTGCTGAGTGTTTGTCTAAGCTCAGGCTGTGTCTGACTTCAGAGACTTTTCACTCTTTCAGGTGAGAATAAAGTCATTAAGCACTAGTACATAATTACTAAGTGCAAGAAAACTAGAGAAGTATTTTGATGTGTCAATCATTATTATTAGAATTATAACTTTGTATTGCATTCACCAAGTTAACGTTAGCTAGCTTGGGAGCTTCAGTTTTTACTCATATTTTTACACTCTCAAGAGAAAATGGTGAATTTGCTGCCCTACACATAATTCTGTGTAAATTTAGCAAACTATAGACATTCGAGTGAGTGTGCGTTTGAGTAGAAATCATATTAGAGTCTGTTATTATGCTAATAACTGTTCTAGAGTCTGCTAATTTAAGACCTAGAGAGCTGACTAAGTTAGTCTTCATGGAATTATTCACAACATAACAGGAAATACAGCGTGTCAGAATTATGAAACAAATCCATTGAGAACACTGATTTTCAGGATGATTTCTTCAAATTGTATTATTATTAATGTTCTTAGTAGTAGTGGCTGGTAAAAATCACTGGCACTGCAAGCAAGTGGAGTAAGCCTATTCTTGTTTTACATTTGAAAATAGCCCAAGAATTTTATGTTATCAAATTTATATTTTATGTTTACTCATTTATTCATCATAATATTTATTGAATATGTCCATTTTACACTCCCTGTTAACGCTTTAACGGCACACAGCCCTCCCAACTCCACCTCCATCAGTCAGTCACCAACTCTCAGTCCAGTGCTCCACTCCAGGTTTTCCCTGTAGCCCGGCATAGGGGCCCACGGTGCAGCTGGACTTCTGGAGGAAGTGCCTGCGCCGTGGAGCTCAGTTCTGTGGGAGGGGCCAAAGAGAGGGAGAGAGTGTGTGTGTGTAGAGTCATGCAGTGCCGGTACTGATAGTGTGTGCCACACACTACAGTTGTGTGTGTCCCAGGACGATGTACCGCAGGTCCCCCTGCCACAAAGGCAGGGTCCACTTTGACTTCAGTGAGGAGGTGGTCAAAAAGCTTCATGCGTCCACACTCAGGTCAGAACTCTCGCATTCACACTGTCTGTCTCTCATTCTCTCTCTCTCTCTCTCTCTCTCTCTCTCTGACTGGCTCATTTGCATGTCTATCTCCCACTTTCACACCAGCTTCTCTTCCTTTTGGTGTTTAGCTGCTTTACATTTTGGTTTGTCTTTCTTTCTTTCTCAGTACTTGTTTGAACCGTATGCAATTGGGGCAGATGCCATTAACAGCTGCCCAGTATTTACCTCTCCTGTGTTTACCTGTCCTGTTCACCTGTCTGTCTCTCTCCTCTCTCCCCCCTTCCCCTCTCTCTCTCACACTCATTCTATTTTTGCCATGGCCATGCCCACAATAATGTTGCTAGTTTAACACTTGCTCGGTCTGCAGAGTGAAAGCATGTAAGAGGCGAACAATAGTAGCAGAAGTTCTGTGCTAATGTAAAGTTAAACTACAGTATAAACCTCTGAGTCAGTGACTCACTAGGGATGTGCAGTTGTATTGTTCACACATTAGTGTATTGTCAACGTCACACTGCATAATTGAGATAGTTTCACTTCTTATACCTACTTTCAGTGACATCTCAGCAGTGACAACAGTTTATTGAAAACCAGACTGGCCAGCTTGTATAGTGCTTCTGCTTTGTGCTACGCATATAACACAGTGAGAGTTTGGTGATTTGAAAACAGAGTATTAAAAACGGATTGGGTTTTGTCCTAATTGGCAGGCAAGTTGTTTTTAAGCTTTTGAGTGCTGAGTCTGTGCAGAAGCAGAATACTGTAACCTAGGGTCATACTGAACGTCCTGTAGTAGTCTTTGCAGATGTGATGTCGTTAACAAGCTGTGCAGTAACTTAGATTTGGGTTTCAGGGTCAATATGAAGTTCTGCTGCAGATAATAAGGCTCAGTGTAATGCATCACACTGATATATAATCTTCTGTATTTAAATGTATTTATAATGCAAATCATTTTAGTGACACATCATCAACCTTGTATCTCCAAATATATATATATATATATATATATATATATATATATATATATATATATATATATATATATATATATATATAGTGTTGCAAAGTTCATTTTACAGTTTTAATTTTCCTATGCATTTTAAAATCATTGTATTGCAAAAGTAGTTTTACATTTCTGGTTGAGTTGTAATGCATTGATTGCTATATATTAATATACAATTAAGTAATTTATTGTACATTTCTGGGTTGAGTTGTTGCTATTGCTCGCGCTGCTCTGTCCATATTTTCTTGTGAAAGCTAATACAAATATACATGTGATGCAAAGCAGTTCGTTACTGTATTAGCCTTTGGGTGTTTAGAGACGTAAGCAAATAGGACCTGTGACGTTATAATAGCAGATGTTCTTCATGCTCATATTCTTCCCTTTGAGTGCATGCATGCATGCGTGGCCATGTATTTGCACTCTGTATCTGTAATGTGTGTGTGTGTACACTTTATCTGTTGTACACACTCATGTATGAGTGGACCTCTGTATTTATGCACACGATGCTCTGCCGTTTGGTGGGTGTGTAAAGGTCTCCCTTGACACAGCATACCAACAGAGATAATCTCTGTGCCTGGCAGATTTGTACTAAAAGGCAGCAGATCAAATGTTTGGCTTGGGATTGGAGGGGATTCTCCATGGTTGTTTTGCGCTTCATATGTGTTGAGCAGCTCTATGTGAATGGTTACCTATTGAGTCAATACTGCTGAGAGATTTCTGGTGGTGTTGCCTCTGAATACTTTATCATCTTTTATGGGCTTTCAGGATCTGTGGAGTGGAGCAGTGTTGGACTGTTTGTGGTGGCAGTGTGTAGTGTTACAATTATAATAATTATAATACTATGTATTATTATTAACACTATATATACAGTGTAAGAATATCTATTAGTACTTTATATACAGAATGTAACTATGAACATTCTGCATACACTCTAAATACATCTCATAGCAACCTGCGTACATTATGTATGTTAACATTCTCTCTCTATACACTGTGAGTATATCTATAAGCATTCTGCACACACTATGTATAGCTATTAACATTGCATACACTGAAAGTACATACGTTAGCGCTCTGCATACACTATGTTAACTATTAACATTGTATACACTGTAAGTATATCTATAAGCACTCTGCATACACTATGTATAACTTAACACTGTATATACTGTCAGTATGTCTATTAGCACTCTGCATACACTGTGTATAAATATTAACACTGTATAAACTGTCAGAATGTCAATCAGCACTCTGCATACACTGTGTATAACTATTAACTCTGTATACACTGTAAGTATAATATCCTTTAGTACTCTCCGTACACCATGTATAACTATTAACATTCTGTGCACACTCTACATATATCTATGAATACTTTCCATGCACCCTGTGTGTAACTCTTGACACTCTGGGCTCATGTAGTAAGGCTTTTGCATCAGTTAGCAAATAGGATCACACAAAAAGTGGGTGGTGATATAACATGACAGGTTTTATTTATGAATTTAAATTTTAATAATGCTGACCATGCTTCAGAGGTGGTGATCACTTTATATTATAATATCTAATATTTCACCTTTTCTTAAAAAAGGATATCTAAAGCTGAATTCCAGAGCTATAATGATAGAAACACCTCATGTTTCAATATGTAAAGCATATGAACACGGCTTCGGAGCTCCCGCTTTGCAGTCTGAAGTTTTCACAACAGAGAACGGTTGTTCATCCAAGGCAGTGAATTCTGTTGTTTTTTTTATTATTTTTGTTGAACTTTGTTGTTTGTGATTTTTTTCTTAATTTCAAAAACTAGCTACAGATGGCGTTGGCATGCTAGCAGGCATGCTTCTGCTTTTGTTGTTTTGTTGTATTCTGTGTATCAAGTGGGATGTGTTTTCAACTGGAATCAAACTTGTGGTGGAGAGGTTCTTGGTGCTGTACCTCCTCTTAATACTCAACATGAGCAATCACTTGTCTAATGTCCCTCAGAGAAACTGTGAAATAGTTGCACACAGCCAACATTTTCAGTGTTGATCTGCTGCCGCTCAAACTGTTTCAATGCTCTTTAAGGTGGAACTTAAAATTAGATTAAGAAGCTGGTGAGCAAGAAGCTATCAGCTTTGTGAAAGGCAAAGGGAACAAACAGTGTTTTTATGACTATCATTTTCATTACCATTAAAATGGTTTGTAGAGTTTTACGTTTTGACACATCCACACATATACACACAGGCTGGCTATTTAAAAAAAATACATTCCCCAAAATATGCTACTCAGACTGGTGTTCTTTTGGACATTTGGGACTAAATTATGTAATGGAAAAAAATGTACTAGTGGACTATGCTGTAATTTGACCATTGATTTGCCCTATAATTTTATACCATTTAAAGCAGGGTTCAGCACTGCTTATTCTCATACACCACATTTGCAAGCTACTTTCCGTCTCTCTCTGTCTGTCTCTCTCCCTCTGTCTCTCCATCTCTTTGGGAGCGCTTGACGCCAGCTCCTGGAGGTGTAGCAATGCTTTGCCCTGGCCAAAAGTCCCCTTCTTCCCCAAAGTCATGTGACCAAAGTCAAACCTGCACACATGTCATGAGATCGTTTTGACCAGTTCTCAAAATGTCAGCTTGTCCTTTACTTGTTCTTTGTTTTTTTTGAACTGGATGTTTAATAAATAGAGCTCAGTTTTGTTTAATATTTATTATTTTCAGTTCTATCTTTAGCTCTGCCATGGCCTGCTTCAGTTCCCTTGTGGCAGCCTTAGCTAGTAAACCATTAAACAAGGCAGTTGACCCAGGTGACGAGTGGAATATTAAAAACCCAAAATATATAACATGCAAATAATTTAGGATTATGACTCTGCTGAGACTCTGTTTATTGATCATGTGTAATACTGGTACCACAACCTTTCAAATATATGTATGTGTCTGCATATATTCCATAAATATCACGCAGTTGTAAGAAAACCTTATAACCAAGAGCCAACAACCACATTGGGTTCCACTTCCATCAGCCAAGAACAGAAAGCTGAGGCTGCAGTGGGCACTGGCTCACCAAAACTGGACAGTTGAAGACTGGAAAAACATAGCCTGATCTGATGACTCTTGATTTCTGCTGAAGCACACAGATGGTAGGGTCAGAATTTGGCACCAACTGCATAAATCTACGAACTCAACCTGCCTTGTTTCAACAGTCCAGGCTGGTGGAGGTGGTGTAATGGTGTGGGGAATGTTTTCTTGGCATACTTTGGGCCCGTTAATACCAATCAATCACCGCTTGAATGCCACAGCCTACTTATGTATTGTTGCCGACCATGTCCATCCCTTCATGGCCATGATGTAGCATCTTTTAATGACGGGACTGCTTCCAGCATAATAATGCACCTTGTCACAAAGCAAAAGTCATCTTAAACTGGTTTCATGAACATGACAATGAGTTCAGTGTTTTTCAGTGGCCTCCCCAGTCACCAAATCTAAATCCAATAGGCCAACATTGCAATGTGGTAAAGCGGGACATGGAAGTGCACTTTAGAAATGATGCAATCATGTCAACATGGACCAGAATTTCTAAGAAATATTTTCAACATCTTATGAAATCCATACCACAAAAATTGAGGCTGTTTTGAGAGAAAAGAGAGGCCCTACCCAGTTTTATCTTAGTGTTGCTAATAAAGTGCTCGGTGAGCATATAAGATATGAGATACTTATTCTAGTATTCTAGCTTTATTCTCTCTGTTTGATGTTTTGTTCTTGTTTGTTTGTTTGTTTGTAGGGTGGTTTGTGGGTTGTGTCCCCAGTATGTACAGTACATCACATCTAATTGATTGCATATTACTGCTTTATGGACGAGATGGGCAACAAAACAGAATTCCAGGACTTTTCCAAAGAACCGGAATCGTCATTCTGGGCTGATTGTTTCCCCATTGCTGAATGGGCCCTGGACAGGAAACTGTGCGTTGCTGTAATTACTGATTTAGAACTCGAAGTGTGTTCCTGTAAGTCTCTTGTGCAAG